GGACGGTGGGCATATAGGCAACCATCTAATTCGTTTTAGATGTGTGATGAAGCACGAAACACTTCACATGTAATCCTTTATCACACTTGCTGCATCTAGTAATGGTCTTATCATGGCAGTGTGCACACCTGGTCTGTTTATCTTGGGATATTACCAGATGATCTGTATGATCATAGCGAATCTCTATTCCTTCTTTCCTTGACATATGCCTTCTTGATGTGGTTTGTTTTTTGTTTCGTAATAATAATGCTGTGGCTATTCTCCCTCTAAATCCTAATTGGTCCAAGTTACCACCTCGTGTGCAATGAGTGGAAAATACCACTTTTTACCTCTTATAGATATACGATTCTGGTCGTATCTATCTACACCCCCCATATTCGCGTTATACAGATTGATCAAATGCGGCTGCTGCACCTGAAATTATTTATAATAGTAATAATTTTCATTATTTTATATACACAAACAAATACAAACTAGATTAGTAAACAATACATACAAAAAAGTTAAAACTTGTACCCACTTGACTTTGTATTCAAATGAAAAAAAAGCTATTGACTTTGCTTGTATGATTGTCTTCTCTTGACGAGAAAATCTTCTCACGGAATGAATCGGATTTACACCTGCATAATTTGAGCATAATGTTACTATGCTGTTATCGTGTCACTTGACGATGATAATATTTTTGTCTTCGACCTTTTTATAATCATAATGACCTCTTGCTTTTTTCTTCGTTCTTCGAATCCGTCAAAGGACTGTTAGTGATCCGATTTTTACGGATGGTACCCGTACCCCTGATATCCTTTTCTGTGAGTATTTCTAGGAGAGGTATGGTTGAAAAAAAGTTAGCAAAGTAAATATGCATTTTCTCATTTGGCCATCTGTGCTTCAAAACATCTGTGTATTCTAGAACTACGGACGGGCCCACTCCATAAGCAGCATAATGAAGACTAATATTGGTTGATGCACCTTGATATGGTTCAAACCAATTGACATATCCTAATCGGGTTGCACCCACCCATAGCTTGTACCCGTACCGTATTGGCTTACCATAAATAAATTGCTTACATCCATGGCGACCAAAGTATGGAACCATAGCCTCATCGACACAGTGCATCTCTTCACATGAGCTGTTTTGTAGAAACTTTTTGTTCAGATGAGTAATCAGGGGTCTAACTTTCGCAAATTTATCGGTGACATCTATTTTCGTGTTGTCTGCTAAATGGAAATGAGATAAAATGAATTCGAACTTGTTACGTGACATAGCACCAGCAACTAGCTGATTATGACTATCTCTTTCATACTCCCAGAACATTCGTCTTCTTGGAACTGAAATATACCCACTAAGTAGCAGAATACCAATAAACGCTTTTATTTCATGCATAAAGGTTTGTTTCTCTTACTATGACTTTAATTATTTCCTCATCAAAAAATAGTGAAAATAAATTCAGAGGATTTTCAGAGTTTACTTCATCACCCTGATCGATGATAGCTGCATTCGAGGCTCCATCTTTAGGACTAGGAAAGAGGTCATCGTTTGTCCACTTGTAGCTTTTTTTGGTACCTTTTTACCACTATGTTGTTTTTGTGATTTTTTTCTCTCAGGTGTATAAGAGGAATTTCGTCTTCCGAAGAAAAGTCATGATCCATTTGGGAAGTACTAGAGCTTACGTCATTATCACGATAACTTATTTCCGCAGGGGCTCGAAGTTGGTTTCCGGGTAGGTTATCTATGGAAAATGCATCCTCCTCACCTGAATCTTCATCAGTATAATTTCCAGATTCATTATCTGGCGGTAAAATTGTCAAGGTTTCTATGTTTTCCGCCATATCTTCGTCCTCATCTAGCATCGCCAAGGCGTCCTCTAAAGAAAAGCCTCTGTAATGGAAATGTTCATAGTCGTATAAATGCCCACCGTACTACATATAGGACGCTTCAAAGAAGTGTCTAAAGTGACCTTTTGCCTACTTTGAATTTACTTTGACACATTTACATCCATAAATCAGATGTTTATGTATATATTTCAATATATAAAATGACAATATTTGAACTCTGTAGTAATCAAAATTACTCACCGGGCAAAGCGTACACCATATTCGGCCATGATCACAAATTCGAGGGATCTATTTCGGAATAAATACTCGTCACAACAGTTAGCGTGAGTTTTTTAGCTACATTTATAGTTACCGTTTCTTGCTTGACGGATGTAGGCAACACATTGTATCGCTACTTGCGTAACTGGTTTGTGGGGTGCGTTTTTATGGGTGTACTATATGTAGTACAGTGGGCATATCTGGGTTAATAAATTATAAGATTCCTAATTGACTGTTGATGGACTTAACAAGATAGCATATAATTATATACTTTTACATCCTTTATGCAGATAATACTGATTAACAGAGAAAATTATTAAAAGCTTCGGCAGATGAACTCGGAGCTCAAATGCGATGGAATTAAATCTCTCAAAAGTGGAATGAAAGTCGATTTGTTAAAATCTGAAAATATGAATACGAACACCATTTTATCTAGAAATTTAAAACAAATACTTTACACCGATGGTAAATCTTTCATTCATGGGAAGAAGTTCTGATATGAGTATGTTCTAAAAAAGTGACAGCTGCTGCATTTTTCGGAGAGTGATATGGAACAATTATCAAAATTCATGGGACAAGTGCTATACAGTCATGCTACTTCTACAAGTTGTTGTGAGCTTGCTTAAAATAGTCAAAATTTTCATTACTGAACCGAACGAGCTTAGGCTGGTAAGTTCAGTCGTTCTTACGGAGGATTCCTTCATAGGGCGCCTTTATGGCCTACTAGATTGAGGATAATATATGAATTTTTGTTGTATTACACAATAGCATTATAGTTTATTAACTTTATCGCGGCGTTGCGAAATAATAATATCGATATGTATCATGCAAAAGGTGGAATATTACATACATCTTGTTTGATGAAGCTATCTAGCTTCAACCTCTAGATCTAGTCGATAGCTCCAAAGTGTCAGGGTCAGACCCGATACTTTCGTTTTTTTTCAATTTTTGCCAAGCAATTTTTGAGCGAAATATTGAAATCCTTGCCTATTGCCAAAGAACAATTTAATGAATAGTAGTTATAAATATGCAGTTTTTGTGCCACAGAACATAAACATTGAAATGTTATCAGCTTCAGGCTGGGTTCTATGTTTTATTTATTTGAACTTTACTAAGTGCAACATCCTGTACCTCATAATCCCCATCCAATATTGTTTCATAAAAAAAGTCGCCAAGTAGATTGACTCCGCACTCTTAACTCAATGATCTTATCGATTCATGCATGTTTGACAGGTCTCGATATATTTTTTTTTGAAATGTTGCATATTCGGAAACTTTTGAGAAATTTGAGATCTGAAATTTTTGGAATTTTCGAAATTTTCGAAATTTCTAAAATGTTGAAAATTTTTGAATTGAATGAAATATTAATTTGATATTTTTGATGTTTTTAGGGTTCTTAAGATTTTTGAAATTTTTTGGAAATTTTGGATTTTTTTGAATTCTCTGCAATTAATATAACTCGTTTTTCCCCCGAAGGGTAGAAAACGATTATTTCAGGTCTTGCCTAGGCTTGACCCTGGTGAGATTACGTCCCCATTCCCTACCCTAATGTATGCCCCTGTGCCCCTCCCTCTACTCCTATTCTACGTCGGCTAGCCCTTCTGCGCAGTCGCGGCCCAGCATTTGCCTTCCGTTGTAACGCCACGAATGCCGCGATGCAGGAGGATCCTCAGTACCTCATAATAGTCGTCAAGGACTTATTGGGGTCAAGCCTAGGCAAGACCTGAAATAATCGTTTTCTACCCTTCGGGGGAAAAACGAGTTATATTTCAGGGTCTGTGCCGTCGGCTTGACCCTGGTGAGAAGTGTTTGGTATCTGACGACGTAGAAAAGCGTACTGTGATTCCATAAAAAGAAATATTATCAGGTACTTTGCATCTTAAGAAAGAAGTCTGCGCGTGTGTGTATGCATATGTAAAAGAACACAGCTCTAACACAACTCAAACATTTATTGAACAGCATAAGAATACAAAAAACAAATGAACTAAACCATTATTTAAAATAACAGGTACACTGCTAAATAGGAACAAATGTTTCCTTACAAATACTATGAAGAGGTCTCTGACAAGACACACGTTTTACTTCCTTAAAGTAGTGCTTGAAATAGGTCTCTTGACCCTTCCAGTTGCCGTTTTTTAGAATGGTGTCTAACGGAAGCTCACCTTCCCATCTTGACGATGCTACCGCAGCTCTGATGCTGCCAGGCGAAGTGAAAATATTTGCCCCAACCAATGCTGTCTTTACCCATCCAGCTATGATAGCTCTTGAAGCAGGCCGTACCTGGGCCCGGCAAGTGATAAAGAGTGAATCCAGGGATTTTGCTGCCCTTCTATGCGCAGAAACAGATAAAAAACGTTTCGTCCAATAAACGGGGTCCAAGCTCGTATCGTCGTTTTGGAGCAGTTTCCACCCCGACTGCCTATAATTACTCTTATCTGTTTTGGATCCAAACTCCGGCCAAAACGTTACACACTTGCTTTCCATTAATAACCTATCAGGATTCATCCTTAATAGAGTCAAGTCATGCACTCTTCGTCCAGAGGCCAATAGCAGGATCAATGCTAACCGTCGAGAGACTTGGAATAAGCTAGCCTCGTCCACTTGATCGGCTTTCATCCAAGATATCAAATCGGACACATCCCACACGAACTTCTTTCCAGGGATAGGTTTACTGATGTCTATTGCCTTTAGTATGTGCTTGACTACAGGATGAGACGTGAGATGACTTCCTAACTAGGGATTGGCCAGCGACGATATCACGGACTTGTGTAACTTCACAGTGGCGGGAGACAGCTTTCTAACACGAAAAAGATACGCCAAATATTGTGCTACCCCTGAGGGCTCTGGATTGGTAGGTGACATCTCCCTACTCTTAGCCCATCTCAGCCATTCAAGCCACGAAGAACGGTATGTCTTCCAAGTGGAACCACGCCAAGAAGTTTCTAACAGCTGAATATCTTCTTCACACCATCCTCGTACGAGTGCAGCCCACCCTGTACCAACCATGCCACCAAACGAAGATCTCGAGCCTGGCTCAATGGCTGCCCGGTCAACGCATCTGTCAAGTGGAGGTTCAGATCCGGTAGCTTGAAAGGCGGCTCTATCACCCGAGATATTAGATCCGGTTTCCAAAACACCTTGTCCCAATTGGGGGTGATCAGAATGTATCTTCCCTTCGCTGAGTTCAGGTGATGGAGGACTCGGGGGATTAGTGCTGGAGGCGGAAATACATATGCCAGGGAATAAGTCCACCTCTTGCTGAAGGCGTTTACAAAAACCGCCTGTTTGTCCCGTACGTCCATCGACGCATAAGCTGGTACCACCTTCGACTGTTTTGAAGCAAAGAGGTCGATTTCCGGGGTTCCGAAACGGTGGAAAATCTGATTGGTCAACTCGATAGACAGATGCCAATCGGGAGGGGCCTTGTTGCGAGACAGGCTGTCTGCTACGTCGTTGCATATGCCTGGGATAAAGTGAGCTGTCAGAGTGATATCCAGACGACTGCAAAGGGTCAGCAGCTTTACGGTAACATCCAGTAACATCTTTGACTTTGTACCGCCTTGCTTCCTTATGTATGCTATCACAGTTTTGTTGTCTGACTGTAGAAGAATCGACTTCCCAATCAGTCGACCACTCCGCTGTCGAATGGCAGCATACACAGCGAACATTTCCCTGACATTTATATGCCAATTCTTCTGATAGTGGGACCAGGATCCCTTCAAGGCTTCGTTTTCTAAGACTGCTCCCCAACCTATGTCCGATGCATCCGTTGTTAGGAAAATCGTTGCGTTTTGGTGGAAAATTGGCGACACCTTGTGAAGGTTTTGGATCCACCATTGACAAGCTGATAACACAGCTGGGGGAGCTCGAAGATATTTCCTCGGCGTTGATTCGGATAGGAGAAGGCACGCTCTCTGCATCCCCCGAACGTGAAGCCTGCCTAAGGGGATCGCGAAGCTGGCGAAGTTCAACCTTCCGATGAGACTTGTAGCTTGGCGCCAGTTCCATCGTTGATGAGTTTGAACCCAAGTCAAAGTCTTCTGAATACATTTTTGTTTCTTCTTTGGAAGGGATATTGTGTTTCCTACCGTGTCCCACCTTATGCCTAGATACTCCACTGTTGTACATGGTTCCAACATACATTTCTCTCTGTTTATAATCCATCCCAATGCCTCTAGAAAAAACATTACTTCTGAAACCTGTTTCTTTAGGATGAGTGGGCACTGATGCGCCAACAGAAAATCGTCCAGATATACGATTACACGTATCCCTCTGACTCGCAACCTGCTCGCTAGCCAATTTGACACCTTGGCAAAGGTTGAAGGGGCGCTCGACAGACCAAAAGGCAGGCAGGTCATTTGATATAGCATTCCCTGATGCAACACTGAGAGGAATCTTCGATATCTTTCCTTTATTGGGATGTGGAAATATGCTTGCGCAATGTCGATTTTGACCATGAAGTCCCCTTTTTGTAGGAAGGCTGGGACTTTTAAATGGTTGATTAGGTGAAACTTGTTTGGATGCAGAAATTCGTTCAGAGCTTTTAAGTTGAAAATTGGTCGCTTGGTACCATCTGCTTTTGGAACTGTGAACATCTTTGAAGTGAAGCCCGTCGAGTAGTGGGATCTTTCCAGTACACCCCATTCTAGCATTTGCGCTACCTCTGATTCCATACGAGGTGTTGAAAAACTGTGTCTGGTTGAGAAGTGGAATAATGGAGGTTTTCGGATGAAAGGGATTGAATAACCTCTGATTATTTGAAGAATAGAATTGGGCGCCCCTTCCTTTTGCCACTGGTTTGCATAATACTTTAAGCGACCTGCTCTGAACTGATCTTTGTCAGCGCTTCTTGCAACGAACGGGGGTGGAGTGTGGGTTCGATGATCCTGCTGAAACGGAATAACTGCGTTTTCTGGTTCCTTTCTTATATCGGTTCTTCTCAGCATCTTTCGTGTATGACCTCGGCTGGCTTGATCCTGCCATTGTAGACTGTGGCATCTTTCGCGTGGCCAAATGCGAACGAAAGGAGCTTGCATCTCTGTTTTGAGATTCAAATCTTGGCCTCGAGGCCCGAAAAAACTGCCCAAATTGTTTTATCAGGTCGGTAAATGCTTCTTCCTCGAACAGATGAGTCTTCGAGGGCGGAATTGCATCCATAAGCGCCCCTACATGTGTATTGAGCGGCCGCAGTGCCTTTCTTCTCTTTTCAATTACTTCTGCGCGCTTACCGCACACATATTGCACCAAAGCATCTGATGTGACCTTAAAGTCGCCATCAGGATCCCAGAACTCCTCCCGGATATCCTTCCCCAGTTCCGGATACTTTGCCGCTAAGGCCTTTACTGAATGCGAAAAGGCTTCTCGTTGTAAAAGTAAGCCATGCAAAATAGTGCCTAAAGTAGCATCCATAGATGCTAACATATCAGGCGTTCCTTTATTTCTGGAAAGTTGCGGGTTGACTTTTAAGGCGCTAAAAACAGGCGAGGCCTGCAGTTTCTTCTGTGCATCAACATAACGGATTTTATTGAAAGAAGCCTGCCCTAGCCGCAAGCAGTTCACCCCCTGGGCTTCAATATGTGCGTCCGCTTTAGGGACTAGAGGCTCTTGCTCCTTGGTTACCGGAACAAAACTGAAGTCCAAGTGATCTATGGGACTTTCTAGTATATCCGTCTCGTTTGGTGCACTGAAGCCTAGGTCTAAAGATGGAGCAATATTTTCTTGATCATCCAAATCCGATTCCTCATCTGAATACCTAACATCTTGGATAGACGTGCCTTGGTCGGAACGTTGTTCGATCTTCTCCAAAACATTCTGAACTAATATCTTTAGTTCCTCCTGGCTCCTTTCCAATTTATCCATTCGACTCATCTTTCTTGGCCTCGGATCAGAAGCACCCGTTGATGAACTCTCGCCCTCCGAAGAATCTGCTGCCAATCTCCGAGCCGCTTCTTTTCTTGAGATGAACAATGGCCGAAGTGAGTCCAGAGAGCTCATTACTAGCTCGTGATGAACTGCAGATCCCCTTATTCGACACGCCAAGGCTGGAGGACCAATAACCAGACCGACACAAAAAGGCCAATTCAGCATCCGGACCTTCATTTCCCGATATGTTTTCTCCGATAGGTTCTTACAATCCGGGATAAATGCTTGTGCTAGTCCGACCGTTGGAAGGGCAAATCTCAACTTATTGATCAGCTGAGGATCCATTGGATCCTGAAATAGAGATGTTCTTTCTGTAATGGCCACCTTCCAGTTCTTCCAACCATCCGGAAGGTGTTGCGATGCCAGTAGTTTAATGCGGTTGAGGATCCGCGAGTCTCCATGATCTTCTGGCGACGGATCCGCTAACTGGCCCAGAGTCATAGTGGACGGTCCTGGAGCTGCCTGCAGACAAGAAACAGCAACCCGTTAGAATCTCTACAGCCAAGGTATTCTGAAGTGATAGCTAATAACTTGATCAGTCGGCCCAAAAATGAGCCGACGGCTCGATGAAACAATCCGACGCCCTGTTAAGTGACCCGACCGCTCAGAATCGGGCCGACGTCTCCGTAATTCCAGTCGTCGGGTCCACGAATCCAGCCGACGACTGATTCAAGCTAGTTGAGCCGACGGCTCGAAAGTCGAGGCCGACGGTTACGTATAACGAGCCGAAACTGCTGATATAGCAAGAAGGAACTACAAGGAGGTACATAGCTGCTTGGTGCGAACTACCCTCGGTAATGTAAGTGATTGACCGGGGGTGCAAGTCACTTCACAACAATAAAATTGATGTTTCTGAATCATAAAGGATGTCTGAAGTAATGAACTCAAACAACATGTCGGTCTGCTAGGTAAATAACAAAACAACTTCACATGCCGTTTAGGCATTAATGATTTCGAGTAGAGGGAATGAAATCAAAACAAAGGGGACTTACCATCATACTATAATGCACTGTATTCACTCTCGCGAAGAATATGTACAGAATAGGAGCATACACTAGCGCGGAATAAAGCGTACTGAGGATCCTCCTGCATCGCGGCATTCGTGGCGTTACAACGGAAGGCAAACGCTGGGCCGCGACTGCGCAGAAGGGCTAGCCGACGTAGAATAGGAGTAGAGGGAGGGGCACAGGGGCATACATTAGGGTAGGGAATGGGGACGTAATCTCACCAGGGTCAAGCCGACGGCACAGACCCTGAAATCAAGTATTTGAAATTTTCGATATTCTTGGAATTTTTGAAGTTTTTGAAAATTTAGAAATTTTAAAAATTTCTGAATTTTTTGAAATTGTAAAATTTTCTGAATTATTTGATATTTTAGAAATACTTCAAATTTTTGGAAATTTTGGAATTTTTGAAATTTCTGAAATTTTTCAAATTCTTGAAAATTCCAAAATAGATGAAAATTTTGAAATTCTTGGAGTTTTCAAAATTCCTGAAGTTTTTGAAATTTTTGGTATTTATTCCCATTTATACATGGTAGAACGTAGAACCAACAAGGTCTACCTACTTACATGGTCTGATCAAAATTTAGAAAGCCAACCTCTCATGTTCCTACTACTAGACTACTTAAAGGACATAAATTCATGAATTATGAGTTCAACTTACCTTCGATCTTTGCTAATGACATAATCTTTTTCGTTCGCTGAGACACTGGAATGATGACTAACACAACTCAAATACTAGACGAATCAAGCGCGACTGCGCGACTGTTATCTAAAAATAGATCACACCGTTGCTAAATGGAAATGGCTCAGGTTTGTTGATAAACTCCCTTCCCCCTTGTATATGTTTATATAGGGGGGCTGCGACTAGCGCCACCATCCCAACTAAATTTCTATGAGTCTCGTACTTATCTGAGCCACCTAGTTGCCAGCATTTATCACTCGTACCGTCTACATTTCACCCATCAAGGTACGTTGCAGATGATGAGAGTATCCGGCAACATCACATCTAATAGGAGCTTTGAGTTTATTAAGCTAACAACCTTCATGTAAGAGTTATTAGGGCGTTTCAAACCTGAGGCATATATATGGCTCGGTTTTGTTTCTCTGGCTCAGGTTAGTCTGTTCCAGTTACTATAATTGGCTCAGATATGTAGTG